TGAGGAAGAAATGGCGGAAAATGAACCCAATAGGCGAATTCTACGAGATTTTGCTTTACCGAGAACACACGATTCTCAAACTAGCATTGCAAGGCCAACGGTAAATGCTAATAATTTTGAAATTAAATCATCACTGATTCAAATGGTACAACAATCTCAATATGGAGGTAATGCTACCGAAGATCCAAATTCTCACTTGTCAACATTTCTTGAAATCTGTGATACAATTAAATTTAATGGTGTTAGTGAGGATGCAATTAAACTTCGATTGTTTCCATTTTCACTAAGGGACAAGGTCAATGTTTGGTTACAATCTCATCATCCAAACACTTTCACTACTTGGGCTGAATTAGCTAAAGCTTTTCTAAATAAATTTTTTCCACCTGAAAAAACTGCTAAACTTAGAATGGATATAACTAGTTTCTCTCAACAGGAAGGAGAGACATTGTATGAAACTTGGGAGCGCTATCGGGAATTGCAACGAAAATGTCCTCATCATGGGTTACCAGATTGGCTAGTAGTCCAAACATTTTACAATGGTCTCACCTATCCAACAACGACGCATGTAGATGCGGCAGCGGGAGAAGCATTGGTGGGAAAGACAGCTGAGGAAGCTCAACAACTGATTGAAGAAATGGCTGCTAACAATGACCAATGGGCAAACGAACGACGTAATACAAGAAGAACCGCAGGTATGCTCGAAATAGATATCTTGAATATGTTAAGTACAAAAATGGATAATGTAGTTAAGATGCTTAATAGGCACGTTGGTTCTAACTCTAATCAAGGAGTAGTTGTTGCATGTTGTACTACTTGCGGCGGAGATCATGATGATTCTATGTGTTCTAACAACGAACAGGTTCAATATCTCAATAATTACAACCGTCCACCCCAAAACAATCCATACTCCAATACCTATAATTCAGGATGGCCCAATCACTCGAATTTAGGAAGGAATGATCAAGGGAACCAACAAAGACCAGTTAATCCACCGAATTTTCAACCAAAGCAACCACTTCTGGAGTCCAAACCAGCTTGGGAATTGGCAATTGAAAAGCTGGCAAATGTATCAAATGATAAAATTGAAAAGTTAGGCAATGTCATTACTCAACTGTTTGAAAGAATTGAAGGAAAGATAAACCAACTCACCAATATGTACAGGAATGTTGAGGTCCATTAGAGCAAATAGCAAATGCGGTTAACAATCGCAACCAAGGGGATTTACCTAGCAAGACTGAGGTAAATTCAAGGGAGCATGTCAAGGTTATAACCCTCCATAGTAGTAAGGAAGTAGGTGAGCCACCAGTAGTTGAAAATGAGAGAGAATGTGAAAGAAGAGAGAACAAGCAGTTGAGTGAGTTAGGAGAGAATGGCAAGAAAATTAAAGGGAAAGAAAATGTGGAAAAAAATGAGCCACAAATGGAAGATACAACACCAATTCCTCCACCGGTGCCATTCCCTCAAAGATTGAAGCCTTCAAGAAATGACAAAGAATTTGAAAAGTTTGTTAATATTTTCAAACAATTACATATTAATATACCTTTTGTTGATGCCATTTTGCAGATTCCTTCATACGCAAAATTTCTCAAGGAGATAATGACTAGGAAAAGGAAGTTAGTAGATAAAGAGACAATTGCATTAACGGAAGAATGTAGTGCCATCATACAAAATAAATTGCCACCAAAATTGAAAGATCCAAGGAGTTTCACAGTTCCTTGCACTATTGGTAATGTAAAATTCTCTAAAGCACTTTGTGACCTTGATGCAAGTGTTTCATTGATCCCTTTAACTGTGACTAGGCAATTGGGGTTGAAAGAGTTAAAACGTACTAACATTTCCTTGCAATTAGCTGACAGGTCTATTAGACATCCAATAGGCATATTGGAGAATGTGCTCATTAAAGTGCAAAATTTCATTATTTCTGTAGATTTTGTTGTTTTAGACATGGAGGAAGATGTAAATGTACCAATTATATTTGGTAGACCATTTCTAACGACTGCAGGTATAATAATAGATGTCAAACGAGGTAAGTTCAAGTTTCAAATCGGTGAAGAGGAAGTGAAATTTGATTTGAGTAAAGTGGAGAAATATCCCTCTTTTACTGACCATATTTATTCTGTTGACATATGTGATGAATTGGCATTGGAGATGAGTCAAGTTAATCTTGATGATAATTCTCTTGAATTTTGTCTTAATGGTATAGGTTTACAAGAGGAACAAGTTGAAAAAATGACTGATTTTTTGCAGGCATAGGTTCCTTACAAAAGGAGAAATGCATATGAGGAGTTAGGACTGAGCAAAGGGCTACCTCCACCATCATGTGAGCAAGCACCACAGTTTGAGCTTAAGCCACTACCTAAACACCTCAAATATGCATTTCTTGGAGAAAAAGAGATATTGCCGGTGATTGTAAATTCTGCACTAGATGAGGAACAACTAGGCAAACTCTTACGTGTTTTGAGAAAGCATTTAAAAGCTATAGGATGGACAATTTCTGATATCAAAGGAATTAGTTCAACTATTTGTATGCACAGGATTTTGTTGGAAGAAAACTCTAAACCGGTGATTGAGACTCAAAGAAGGTTAAATCCAAATATGAAAGAAGTGGTAAGAGTATAAATCCTTAAATGGCTGGATGCAGGTATAATTTTTTCAATTTCTGATAGTGTTTGAATTTCTCCTATTCATGTAGTGCCAATGAAAGGGGGAATAACCATAGTACAAGATAAAAATGATGAAATGATTCCCTCTAGAGTTGTGGTTGGGTGGCGAGTTTGTATTGATTATAAAAAACTGAATGTAGCTACTAGAAAGGATTAATTCCCTCTACATTTTCTTGATCAAATGGTAGAAAGATTGGCCGGATATGAATTTAATTATTTTTTGGATGGTTTTTCAGGATACAATCAAATAGTAATTGCACCGGAAGATCAAGAGAAAATCACATTCACTTGTCCTTACGGCACTTTTGCATTTCGAATGATGCCTTTTGGACTGTGCATGCACCGGCCACTTTCCAACGATGCATGATGGCAATTTCTCTGATTTTAATGAGAAAATTATGAAAATCTTCATGGATGATTTTTCTGTATTTGGATCTATTTATGATGATTATTTTAACAATTTAGATATAATTTTGCAGAGATGTGAAGAAACAAACCTTGTATTCAATTGGAAAAAATGTCACTTCATGGTTTGTGAGGGTATTGTGCTAGGTCACAAAATTTCTTCAGAAGGTATTGAGCTAGATCAAACCAAGATAGAGGATATTGAGAGAATGCCTCCACCAATCAGTGTGAAAGGCATTCGCAGCTTTCTTGGACACGTGAAATTTTATCGGCGGTTTATTAAGAATTTTTTCAAAATTGCTAAACCTTTATGTGAATTACTTACAAAAGATGTTCCTTTTTCACTTCAATGATGAGTGTTTACTTGCTTTTAATAGGTTGAAAAAGGAACTTGTCTCCGCACGTATAATAGCATCATCGGATTAGAGCTTGCCATTCGAATTAATGTGTCATGCAAGTGATTTTATAGTTGGGGCTGTTCTTGGGCAAAAACATGATAAGCAATTTCATGTCATTTATTATGCAAGTAAAATGTTGAATCAAATCCAAGTTAACTATGCAATAACAGTGAAAGAGTTGCTAGCAGTGATTTTTGCACTGGATAAGTTTAGATCGTATTTAGTTATACCGACCATGCAGCACTCAAATATTTGTTAAATAAGAAAGATGCAAAATCTTGACTAATTCGATGGATTTTATTATTGCAGGAATTTGATTTGGAGATCAAAAATAAAAAAGGATCCGAGAATTTAGTCGTTGATCATCTTTTTAGACTGGAAAACATACCTCAAGAAGACCATTCATCCATTAAAGAAGAATTTCCAGATGAGTTTTTAATGGCAATTTATAAGTCACCATATTATGTTGATCTAGTTAACTTTGTAGTTAGTAGAGTGATACCAAGTGATTTGAATTCTCATCAAAGGAAAAAATTCTTAAATAATGCTAAACATTATTTTTTAAAAGAACCGTTCTTTTACAAACACTGTGCAGATGAAATAATTAAAAAATGTGTTCCGGAAGAAGAGGTACATAGTATTCTAATGCATTGTCATACTCTTGAAACGGGAGGTCATTTTAGTACAACTAAAACCGTAGTAAAGATATGGCAATACGAATTTTATTGGCCTACTATGTATCGAGACATTAGAAATTGGGTTAAAAGTTGTGATCAATACCAAAGAACTAGTAATATCTCAAGAAAGAATGAAATACTTTTGACTACATATTTGAAAGTTGAGTTATTTGACGTTTGGGACATTGATTTTATGGGACTATTTCCTAACTTATATAATAATAAGTACATCCTATTAGCAGTTGATTATGTCTCTAAATGGGCGGAGGCCATTTCTTCACAAACTAATGACGCTAAAGTTGTATTTAAGTTCCTTAAACGGAACATATTTTGTAGGTTTGGAGTCCCAAAGGTAATAATAAGCGATGAAGGTAAACATTTTTGTAATAAAATTATTGACAATTTATTGCTTAAATATGGTTGTGGGTAGGCCTGCTGACGACTCGAGCTGCTCGCAAGCAGCTCGAGTCAAAGCTCGGCTCGAGCTCGGTCAACACGAGCTCGAGCCGAGCTCGAGCCGTTTGTTAATACAAACGAGGCGAGCTCGAGCCTTCGTTTCTTAGGCTCGATAGCTCGACGAGCTGCTCGTTAGGCTCGAGTAAATGTGAAATTATAAAAATACCCCTGAATCAATTAAAATTTACAACTTATTCTGTTTCTCACTTCTTCTATTAGGTTACATAATTTTCCTTCCTCACTTCCTCCAATTGAACTTCCTCCTCCGCCGCCGTGTCTCATCAAATCTTCCATTTCCTCCAACTATGACAACAAGACCTTAAATGCTAGTGGCGGTAGCCTTAGATGGTCCTACGACGAACACGCCATAGCCGTGCGGCTGCCACCGCCGCCGTCGTCGAGGCTGCTCTTGCTGCCGCTCAGGCAGCTGCAGAGGTCATCAGGCTGGAACTGTTTCCTTTACTCCTCCGGGCAGCAGTGGCAGAGACTGGCGGCAAGAAGTGGCGGCTATTAGGATTCAGTCGGCTTTCAGAGCTTACCTGGTTAGTGTTTTTTTCCAGCAAAGTTTGAGCTTTATTCGGCCCTTTTACAGAGACTTTCTTTCTCAAGCTAATAAGCTGAAATGCACTTCAAACTCTGAACCAACTTTGGATCATCAAAATCAGCATTTTTCCGATATGGATTTTCTCTTCTATCTCCTATTCTTTCAGGGATTCTGTTAAAGTCTTCATCTTTCAGCACAATCAGTGCTAGATCTGCCACAAAGAACAGCATTAATGATATCACAGTGACGGTAAAGTGTGAATTCCTTGTTAGCGCAAATTCTGCTTTCTTTTCGTGGATTTTGTACTAAAATTTGTGTGTTATTTGCAGTAGTGTAATGTTAATAAAGGACTTTGGATTATATTTCTAATCATGATTTAACTGAAAGAGAGAGCCGTTCTTGATTGGAATGTGCTTAATTTGGGGGTTCTAGTGAGAACGGAGTATGTAAGTTTTATTTATTTATTTTTTAAATCCAGAAACAAACATTAGACTTGAGCTTTTTAAACTATGGTGCAAAGGTGAAATGGCCGAAAATTGTGATCATTTGTGTCAAATCAAGACGAGTCTCTCTTCCACCTTGGTTGGTTGCATTCCATTTCTGATAAATTGATTTATATGGATATAGATAAACAACTCAAATCTATAAATATAATTTATTTAAATGGTCATCCATATCTATTTAAACTTGTTTATTAGGATGGATAAGTGGATATGGATTCAAATTGCCATTTCTAATTGTTGATGACTAAATTCCATAAAAAAAAATCGGAAAAAAATCCTTCAATTATCCTAAATTGTTTCAAATTGGATATTTGGGGATTAGAATTGCGTTTGTTGATATTTTAAGGACTAAAACTCCACACGGATAAAAATGCTATTTTCTTGCCTAAATTTCCAAAAACTCGAGCTAATTTCGAGCTCGAGTTCGAACTAGAAATCGAGCTAAATTCGAGCGAAATGCGAGCCAGAAAATCGAGCTGCTCGCGAGCCATAATTCGAGCTAAGCTCGCGAGTCATAAGCGAGTCGATCTCGAACTTGCCTTTTCTTAAATCGAGCCGAGCTCGAGCTTCATTTTACGAGCTCGACGAGCTCGAGCTCGAACTCGAGCTTGCATATAAATTAGTCTAACTCGACTCGATAATTTTAAAACTCGACTCGGCTCGGCTCGTTTGCACCCCTAGTTGTGGGCATAAAAAGCCACTCCCCTATCATCCTCAACCCAATGGTTAAGCCGAGTTGGCTAACCGAGAAATTAAAATCATTTTGAAGAAAACGGTCAACCCATCAAGAAAGGATTGAACAAACAAACTTGTAGATGCTTTGTGGGCGTATACAACGGCATTTAAAACACTGTTGGGAATGTCTCCATAAAAGCCTATTTATGGGAAAGCGTGTCATTTACCTGTAGAAATAGAACATAAAACTTATTGGGCCATTAAGACTATTAATTTTGATTTTAAATCTGCAGGTGAAAAGAGAATGCTCGATTTGAGTGAATTGGAAGAATTGCGATTGATTTCGTATGAGAATGCCAAGATTTACAAAGAAAAAGTGAAATTTTGGCATGACAAACATATTCTTTCTAAGCATTTTGAAGAAGGGCAAAAGGTGTTATTATTTAACTCAAGACTTAAATTATTCCTTGGAAAGCTCAAGTCTCGATGGTCCGTGCCATTTGAAGTGGTTCGTATGTTTCCTTATGAAGCTGTGGAAATAAAAGGAGAAAATGGTGCCCCATTCAAAGTAAATGGTCAAAGATTGAAACCCTATTTAGCCGAAGAAAAGGTTCCTAAAGGAATGATTTACTCCTTAGGAAACGCAATGGAGAGTTAAAGAAGCTATAGGAGAGTCGAACTTAACGACTCTAAACAAAACGCTTGTTGGGAGGCAACCAATAATAATATTATAGTTGTGTGTTTTTATATGTTTGTTACATTTTGGTGTGATTTCATTGACTAAATATATATTTCACTTGTTTGTAGGAGGTACCGGAGTTTCATCATCCATCTTGGAAGAACAATTGAAGAACAAGTGTAAAAAGGGAGGTTTTCTTACCAAATTATGCTTTAAGTGTTTAGAATTACCACTCATATATATATTGTGCATTTCAAGTATGTTCAAGTGAGTTTTGGTGATAACATGTTTATAATACTCATGGACTCATTTGATGTGCATTTAATGTCCAAAAGTGCTATTTTGGTGTAAAAGTGTAAAAATGAGTAAAGAACCTCACCCCTCGATTTTCAATGAAGATGTGTTTGATGTGATTTGAGAGATTGGATATTGTATTTTTGGTATATTACATGTGCGTGGGAGGTTGGAATTGATAAAAAGTTTGTCCAAAGCGTAATTTGGAATTAGCTGGAAAAGGGAGAAAAAGTTTGAAAAATTGCAGTATCTACAATTAGTGCAGAGAAATACAGATCCGAGCTCGGATCCTAAGTGCTCAGACGGATCCGACCACGGATCCTTTTATCCGAGCTCGGATCCAACAAAATCCAATTGGATCCGAGGGAACGGCTGAACTTCTGGAGTGAAGGATCCGAACTCTATCTGATCCGAGGGCTTTCAGAACCGATCCGACCTCGGATCGATTCGCGATAAGAAAACAACCGAGGCCTCGGTTCCTCATTTTTCCAGTTCTTTCTTTCCTATTCATCGCAAACCCTAACCCTTTTTCTCAAATCTCCTATTTCATCCATCAATCATCCAAATTTTCACCATAGAAACCTCCCCAAATGTCTTCTGATCATTAACCACAACTTGTTTCGCATCAAAGCAACATCAAAGAAGGATTTTAATCCTCTTACATAACATTTGGCCGAATGGAAATTCTTCAATTTGGGGGCTATTTTGGGTTGTTGCTGTGTCAAATTTTGCATCATTATCATCCTCCATCATCAATCTACACATTTGAGGTAAAAATTTGCAATTCTCTTTGAGATTTCATAATTTTCAATTTTACATTTTTCTAATTTTTTGGCAAATTTTGGTAATTGTTTATATGTTGAAATTTCTTGATATAATTGTGCTACATTGCGCTTAAATAGAGTGTTACAACTATTTTTATGCTTAGTTTTGAGAGAATTGTAGATTTGGTATTATTTTGTAGAATTTTCTTCTAAAATTTTAGGTTAATGCACATGTTAAAACTTTTGCTTGAGCATTCCTTGTTTTTGGAGATAATTGGCACTCATAAAGAAAAGTTGCAGCTCATTAGCTGGTACTTTGGTGATAATGTGTATAGCACTTTCAATCTTCAAAATCTTATTGGTGTTATTCCTCTGTTTGAACTTTTTGAAGAATAATCCAGTAGTTTGATCCCCAAAATTCAACCATTGCACTCTTGTTTTGTTTTTAAAAGCTCTCCTGTGCTTTGGCCATAATGTATCATTGAAGTCATTCTTGTCAAATTGGTTGGATAAGTTATTGTCCTCTATGTTTTCTCATGATGTTTTTACTTTGAGATTATACTTTATTGTTGAATTATGTATCAATTCTCAAAAGATTGGACTTTTTAATAAAAGTCTAACTGAAATATGATGTTCAATCATTGAAAATGGAATATTCAAGCCATCTGTTCAGAGTATGGATTGAAATTGATATTATACACGTGCATTTGTATTTGAAGTGGTTTAAGTAGGAACTTTGATTGTTTTTGGGTAAATGTTGGCAGGAAGTTTTGCCCTTTTTCAAAGGGAAACTCTGCCGAAATTTTATTAAATTCTTATTTAACATGTGTGAGCAAATCTATACTATTTCTAATGAACGTTCATCTTGTTTTTGTATAGGTACTATTGCTCGCACAAGAAGGTCTCGTGTTCGCACTCCTTGTCCCTCTTCAAGCGAGGAACGCACTCCGTCACCCGAGGAGTCATCAGTGGAGGAATCTCCTTCACCTGAGTCCCCACCTCGTTCTCGCCGGAAGACCGCGTCTACTAGCCCCGAAGAGCCGTTTCCAGACTATGATACCACGCAATTCACCTCACTCGAGAATCAACAGTGGTACGAGGCCGGTTTAGACAAGGAGATCATTATTGAAAAACATTTGGCACCGGAGGTGGATGACCACTATAAGATCTCCACGGCATTCAAGCGACTCGGATGGGAGACTATACTAAATTTGCCGAAACATTACTATCCCAATCTGGACCGGGAGTTCTACGCCAATGTAGAAAACAAACAGAGTCACAGTGGCAACCTCATCGTCTCCTGGGTTCAAGGCAAGAGAGTGGCTCTTAATCGGGATACAGTCGCAAAAATTGCCAAACTCAGAGACGAATGAGTTGATGTTAAATTGACCAAGGACTTCAAGGCACGCGACCCTTGGCAGGTGGGAGAAGCGGTAGCACGCCTAAAGGGTCAATATAGGGAGCGAGAAAGTTCGAAGAAACTCACTGTATATGCTGACTCCTTCGAGCATAGGTACCACTTGATCTTCTATCTCTTCGCCTTCAATGTGGTACCCAAAAGAAGTGGAAAATGGGAGCTCCGCAATAGTAACCTCTACTTCTTGGATAAGATGATGCATGGTGTGGGTGAGCAGTTGACTGGTATTCCTTTGCCCAGCATCATCATCAGTTACATGCGGACCACAGCTCGCATGAGAGCCGGCGAGACTTGGTTTGGGTTCCCTCGACTGCTATCCCTCATTTTTTAAAAGCTCAAGGTTCCTCTTGGAACCAAGTGAGCCATTGTCACTAGGTTCGCGCGAGGTCAGTGTCTCGATACTAAAATCCTTGAGTATCTCTACGGATTTTGGAGCTGCTCTGGTTCGAGACACTGGAGAAGCTTCAACCTCAGCTCAGCCTCCACCTCACACTCAGCAGGAACCAGTAGTTCATGAGATGAAGGCACAGCAGACTCTTTCTTCTCCCGTGCCACGACCACCACCTCTGCCGCGATCCAAGTGGCAAGAGCTCCTCAATGCCATCTGTTGTATGGAGACACGAGTCATCGAGCGCATTGACCGGACCGAGCGGATGATGACAGAGTGACTCGACAGACATGATCGCCGTCTTCGTGCGATCGAGGATCATTTCCATATCCGTCGGTCACCTACTCCGACGCCTCAGCATGAGGAGGGGCATATTGGTACATCACATGGTCCTCATGGAGTTGAGGAGGCAGTAGACCCTCGTTCCGAGCAGCCATGAAGATCTTTAGCTGATTACATCTTTTATTGCTTTATTTTTCTTTTATTGTGTTCGGTTTAAACTTTGTAGTTTTCATAATGGATTATATTGTGCTACTTATGATTTTTCGTACCTTTTTGTTTCATTTTGGACAGAATTTGGATGATCGTGAAGATTAATGGTTTCAAATTGAATCACCACTTATTTTGGGGGAAGTTTCAGTTTCTATTACCTTCCTTACAATGAGGACATTGTTAAATTTAAGTGTGAGGGAGGGATTACTTTATCTTATGGTGGTTGTGTCTTGAAGTGCATGATTTTAGTTGTTTATGGCTTAGAAATGTTGGAATCATATTTAGAAATATTGTTATAAGGATAATTTGATTGAACTTGAGGCTATTGGCAGC